AATCTTTTTTCCATAATACAGCACAGCCTTTATTAGAACATCGTTTGCTCTGATCCTCCTTCCTCGAGCTCTTCAAAACCACGTCAGTTTTAAAATAATACAACAGTACAGATACTCTGTTTGCAGTTTGGGCCAAAAACGTTTGATGTTAAGAATCTATTTCCCTAAGAGAAACACTGGGATCCACCCCCACCCATGAATCTTGCCAGATTTAAGGATAAGAGTTTTCATTTGGAAAGAATCCCGCTTTCTATATTTATAGTTATTAAGAGGTCTGGGCAAAAATGGACTGATAAGATTTACATAATGCTTTCTACTAAGTTATCTAAGAAAGAGATCTCTAAATAAACAGAGAAGGAACACCATGAAGTGAAAGGGAATGTGAAAAAAGGAGACAACGAGAAACAGTACTTTGATAGACAGGATGAAGAAAAACTTGCAGAAAGTGAAGAGCATGTTGCTATTTTTTCCTGTACAGACATTGACAGCAACTCAGCAACACTGTGATTTGAAATGATAAAAGCTGCGAAGAAGCCAGGAAGGCCTACTAGAAGCAGTGATACATGGCTCACATTTTGAAACTAAAATTTCCCAGTATTATATACAGAATAAAGAACCACCACTGTGGTTGCATTTCTTAAATGTAGAGCTGTAGCAAGGCAGGAATACATCACCCTAACCAAGAGGTTCAACATGTTAACTGGTAAGTACTTAAAGAAGTTTACAAGGCCTACAAAGGCCGTTGTTCTAACACAAAGGTAGAAAGACGCTATAAATCTGCCTTACATCCTTCCACAGCTGGGCAGGGCCTACACACTTCTCAATTCCCCCCTCCCAAACACGTCAGCTACCTGGCCTGTTATCACCAGTCAGTAAAAGACACCGCGGTGTGCAAGCTAGCTCAGAACAGAGATGCTCTCCACGAGAGGACACTAAGCACAGCATCCTCGGCAGATCACGTGAGTTTTAGCGGAGAGGACTGAACTAACAGATCAGCCACGGCACTCACGAGCTGCTCTTTAGTGCGCAAAGGATTTTGGCTTTCGCTCAAAGTCCCTTGTGATGGCCTGGATTATCGGTATTTTCTCACTCTCTCCATTTCACTCCATGCTACCAAACTGTGAGCTGGGCAGCGTTGGGTTCTGCTTTAAGTGAAATAAAATGTAAAGTTAAGCTTAAGAGGACACGAGTAGCACACTAATAAATAAAAGCTTAAGAACAAAATCCAGAAGGAAAACCAAAAGGTTTTGATAAATATGCCACAACATAAGATCCAGTGGCTCAAAGAACCTCTACCATCTGGTAACCGCAACAGTTCACAATGACATTCAGGAGGATTTCCAAGCTCCAGGAGGTGGCTGGGTGGAAAGAG